GAGCAGAGCCCTGGGCCAAATAGGCTAGGGGCAGTGCCCAGGCCCCTGGCTCCCTTCAGGCCCCCCGGGGCCCTCAGCCCTGGAGGAGAAGGGCTGGGCAGGGCCTGGGCTGCCGTGAGATGGCCCAACCAGGGACACCGGCGTGCTGAGCCCAGCCTGCACAGCTGGCGCCGCAGCTGCCCGCGCGGCTGCCCCACGTGCCATGGAGCCTCCTCTACTGCACTGCGCGGGACGGCTTCAGCCTCAGTACCCTCTACCGGAGCACGAGCCGCCGCAGCACCCCTGCACTGCTGCTCATCAGGGACACGGAGGCGCAGGTAGGGCCAGGCCCTGCCCGGGGCCACGGGGAATCGCCCGGGACGCTGAGGCCCTCTGGGCCTGCTGCTTGGCCAGGGCTGAGCAGACACTGCTGGCCTCAGCAGCTGCGTGGCCTCCCTGGCCCGGGCTGTCCCTTGGTGCTGCTTCCCTGTGTTTCTCGCTGGGTACCTTGTGCTGGGTGTCTCTGGCCCTGTCAGGTGATGCAGCAAAAGCCCCCTCAGCCTCCTCTTCACCAGGCAGTGCTGCCCCTGCTCTCCCCACTGCTCTCTGCGGCCTCCTTGGGGTTGCTGCATGCCAGTGCCTGCTGTGCACAGAGCTGTGACACCTCTGCACTCCTTCCTCCCAGGCCTTCGGTGCCTTCTGCGCCTCCGCCATCCGCCTGAGCACCCACTTCTATGGCACCGGCGAGACCTTCCTCTTCTCCTTCTCCCCGCAGCTCAAGGTGGGGGAGGCCTTGCTCTGCAGCGCCGCCAGCGCTGGGGAAGCCCCAGGCCGGGAGCTGGTGACACTCCCATGTCCCAGCCCTGGGGAGGGCCTGGTGGAGCCCTTCGTCTCGGGGCTACGGGGCTGTGCCTGGTGGCAGGGCATCCGTGCGCCCCCAGGGCGGGTGGCCCTTGTCCCCAGCTGGGACAGGCTCTGCTGCCTTCCCGGCACCAGCCCCGGGCTGCTCCAGGCTGACCCCCTGCCCACAGGTGTTCCCGTGGACCGGCAGGAACAGCTTCTTCCTGAAGGGTGACAAGGACCTGCTCATGATGGGCAGTGGCAGGTAGGAGTCGGCCTCTCCGAGAGCTCCACAAGGGCCCAGCCGGCTGTGCGGGCCCATCCATTGCCCTCCTGCTCCCTGCCCGCTCCCGGGATCGCTGCCTGTTCCCTCCCAGCACCCCCGCGCTCCACGGCCGCGTGGGCTGCAGGGCGCAGTCCAGGCCCAGCCCCGCGAGGAGCTGGTTCTGGAGGTGCTGCAGCCCCAGGCTCTGCCCAGCCTCTCTGCTGCTGCACAGCAGCCTGGACACGTGTTGGGGCAGAGCCCTCAGCTCCGTGTGCCGGTTGCATCTTCCCAGTGGCAAATTTGGGCTGTGGCTGGACGGGGATCTGTACCGTGGCGGGAGCCACCGCTGCGAGACCTTTGGCAATGAGCCCCTCTCCAGGCGGGAGGAATTCTGCATCCAGGCCCTGGAAGTCTGGGGCCTGGCCTGACCATGGCTGCCGCCAGGCTTGGTCCCACACACGGAGCCCAGACCTGGGACTGAGCCTGCGCAGCCCCACGGTGCTGCTCTACCTGGATGGGAAGGCCGGAGCGTCTTCCATGCCAGGACGAGGCTCGTGTTGTGCGACAGGGCAGG